TTACACTTGTCAAATGCCTTTTCAGAAAGGCTGTCTGTATCAATTGCATATTCTCAAACTGAATCCCAAAGCCTGTCTCATCACATTCTCACTAGGCTTTACATGTTTTCACTCTTAAGCATCTTTGCAGTAGCAGCTAATTTTATTTGGTGGTTTTGGGTGTGAGATTTGATTGTTTAAATATATTGATTAGCTATTTTTTTATTTCTTTTTATGAATTGTATTTAGGACTTTTGTCTATTTTCATATGAGCTTTTAAAAATATTTTAGGAACCAGCTGGCATTTTTTCCCCAGGGAATCATCAATCACTCTTAAATAAATAAATCTCTGCTGCTACTCATTCTTGGGCAAACTCAAGATGCCCATATGAGAGAAAGTAATGGCCCAATTGCTATTCACGTCTACAGCTCAGTTCCTCTGCATTTAGATGTGGAGGCAACCTTTTATGTTCTACCTACATTGTGTGTGCCCTCTTATGTAGAACAAGACTCAACAATTGGTGGTTATACAGGCTTCTTGTCTCTCAATGTTAGCTGCTTTGAAGAATGACAGTTCCTTTGAGGTGATCCCTGAGTCACCCTAATGAATTTTATAAACACAATGAAGCCTAGGTTTTAAGTTAGCATAACAAACTTATTAAAATGTAATCGAAATTGGCCCTGGTTTTAGGTGATGACCTTTGTTGTCATAGTTGTGGCTCTCATACTAGTCATTACAGTTGACTGTATGTGTCATAATTGTGGCTATTTCCCCCTGTGTGTATATATCGAAGCTTTTATCTTTTTTGCTAGTCACAGTTACTGAATTTTTTTCTTTAGATTTCTTCCATTAGAAAGTGTTCCTCAAAATACTCAGTAATAATTATGGAAATTCTTCACAACCTTTGTGCCTCACCGATGGATGTATTGTTTCAATGATGAAAAGACTTTTATCTAAACTAGTCATGGGGAAAAAACCATCTGAAGCAGTTCCTTATATTGGAGACTTACAGAAGAATGAAATTCATGTGTGACTGACAAGGGAGTCAGTATTTTCACAGCTTCATGTAATTTGTGAGGCTGCCTGATATCTTGGTTCAAAATAATCTATCCTGTTTCTGATTCTAATAGCAGTAATCTACAGCTGGACGTTAGGAGTATTTCCATAAGGCACTGCTCACCTTTCTCTGTAGAAGAGTTGATAGGTTATCCTGTTGGACCATTTCCACATGTGTGCAAGTCAATGTAATTACGTTGGTTAGAGTGTGGCTTTGATAATACCTTTCTAACTTTGTTCATTTTGATGATAATCTTGCCAGTGGTATTTTACTCATCTTCCTTTCATCCCAGGAATATAGTCTTTTCTAACGGTGTCTCATAATTTTCTAGTGAAAGATGACTATAGCATCTTTTTTCTATAAATGTAGAATCACGAGTATGATATTGCACCAGACACCTCTGTCATAAGACAGTGCCTCCCTATCAGGTTTGCCTCCTCCCAGGAGGCCTTTCTCTATGAAATCACATTGCTTTGCCTTAAGAGCTCGTTGTCTACTTGCATTCACACAACAGTGCTGAAGAGATCTGCTCTGTAGATCAGATTTTCTTCGATCTTGAAGAGATTCACTCAATAGTGATTTGTCAAGGCATCTGCATTCTCAAAGCACTCAGGACAAAGATACACATAATTTGTCATTAGTGTTGGACATACCTGGAGGCTGACAATTCTCCTAACAAGACTCGGATCTTTTCTGCTGATCTTGGGGAATGTATTTTCCAAGTCTTCTCTTGTGAACTAAAAAGCAAGAAAGTTAAATCCATGAGTTGAATTAGTTTTTGGATGACTGTCACCAAATTTGCCTTTAAATGCTTCCTGAATAGGTGAATATTCTTGAAAAATGTGCAACGATGTGATGAAAGTCTAGAAGTTATTCTGAGTCTAATCCACCCACAGATGTAAAGAAGTTAAGTGAAAACATAAGTTAGCATGCTTGTATATTCAATGTGTTATTTTCAAATATATAAATGAAAACAGGGATATTTATTTTTGTTAAATCTTAGCAGAGATCAGAGGAAAATATGTGCAAGACTCTTTTTATACCTTTTGTTAGGATATGTTTCAATATTTTATTACTGAGTTGGGCTTAAAGTCAAAACAACCTACTATGGACCACAAAATATTTTCTGTTAATTTAGGCCTATTCGTGGTCAAATATTGGCTAACTGTCTTAATTCCTTGGTATTTGCAATATATCTTACATGAGAAATGGGGCTGACCCAGAACAAAACCAAGCAATGAGCCAATAGCACAGAGACGTCATTCAAAAGAGATTGCTGAGGAAAGTTTTAGGGTTACAATTAGGTCTCCCAGAATACCTCTAGTTGGAGCAGGTACCATATGACTTATTGCCAATAGAATAATTGTACAATTTTAAAAATTATGTGAATAATTGTACAATTTTAAAAATTATGTAAGTCTTCAGAAGCATTGCTGAATTTTTGGCTACAATATGAACAGTTTTATGCAAATATTGAATAACTTCTCTATCACACACAATATTATTATCAGCCAGCAAATCCAAAGACCATTTGATATTGACAATTACATCAGAATAATGTGTTAGGTAAATGACATGAAACTGACCCTCTTTTAAATGAGTTTTGACTAATTTAGCTTAGACTTGCTGTTAGTGAAAATAGTGCACATTTGATTCCCAACTAAGTCATTTACATGAAGAATTGAAATGGTGACTGTGAAAAGCTTTCTTTAAATAACATATTCAGTATATTTTTATCTTAACAGAATACACTTTAAAATTAAGGAATGTTGGCGTTATTTCCCATTCGCTGGATTTCAATTTGCTTTTAAAGAAACCTCCAGCCTTTAAAGAAATGAAATTTAAACTGAACTTTTAAATGTAGTCAGCAATGATTTTTAAAGGATTTTGTTAAGATTAAATATATCTAAGAAAAACCTTCATATAACTATCATTAAAGTTTCTTTTTAAATATTCTACTTAATGTTAAATATTTTATCTCTCTGCCCTCATTAAGTGTGTCTCATCAGATATGGTGTTATTAAATAGTTGTAACTTTACTACAGTTTTTTTTTTTTATTAATACTGGCTTGGACTAAAGCTTCATTAGGTAGGATTAACTAAATTTAAAGATGGCAAAATGCCATTATAACATTAATGCCAGAATTTAATGAGAACCAGAAGTTAACTTCAAGGATCTTCATAATTTAATATAAAGGCATGATCATATTCTGATTATTTTACTGTAGTGTCCTATTAAAAACAAGTTATTCTTTTTCTAATATTTTTTCTTATAAGTTTTATTCAGCAAACACGTAAGTATCCACTATGTGGCAACTATGTGCTATAGTCTTATCAGTGAGACTGTTTTCCATCCTCAAAAAAAAGCCTTTCTGATCCAAAAGAGCAGAAATGAGAAACAGCTCCCTTATGCAGGACTGATGGCCTCTCTTGATCTAGAATGTCTGGTTTCCTAAGGCATGCATCTACCTCTCTAAGTTCTGTTTCTTCATTTCTTACATCGACCATCTATGTCCCTGACATGGGAAGGTTGGAGAGCATGGATTACAACTGGATGTCCTAGTTGTGGTACTGATTACTATGGTGTCTCACAGGAAAAGCTTTGTAGAATGACACAATAAAATTGGACATAGGGCAGGGAGGCGAGCTGGCTGTAGGGTTCTTTGTCTTTTGAGAAAAAAACCTTTCTGGCCGAAACCGGTTTGGCTCAGTGGTACAGCGTTGGTCTGCGGACTGAAAGGTCCCGGGTTTGATTCCGGTCAGGGGCATGTACATTGGTTGCGGGCACATCCCCGGTAGGGGGTGTGCAAGAGGCAGCTGGTCGATGTTTCTCTCTCATCGACGTTTCTGGCTCTCTATCTCTCTCCCTTTCTCTCTGTAAAAAAAATCAATAAAATATATTTAAAAAACAAACAAACAAACAAAAAAAACCTTTCTGTACTGAAGATGTATAGTGATGACTCACTATCTGTAAAATGCAAGTGAACTTTATTTCCTGCTCTAAAAATGATCCCTGTGTGTTTAGAACTCAAAGCGTAATGGACCTAAAGCAAATGTCTGTGTTCCTTTTTTTTTTTTTTTTTTTCATAATCTTATGTACACATACTTACAAAGAAATGCTGAGACCTAAAGTCCATGATGCACAACCACAAGAGGTAAGAAGTGAAATACAGCAGAGGCAAAGGGAAAACTGTACCTCCAAATTCCAACTATTTAGCTTGTGCTCCGAGCTTCCTAGTGACTAAGGCAAAGAGAACAAACAGGATACCATGGTGTGATCTTCTGCTTGTAAGATATAGTCCACCAGTTCTTCAGAAACAAGCATTTTTCTTGTTCTCAATCAATAAGAACAGGTCTAGGTGATTTTATAAGAAGCCATAAGCCACATCATGAATGATGGCCTCATAGATTTTTATAGAAAAAAAAGTATTCCACATATGTCATATCATATATTGGCCTTTGGAGAACACTGAGGGAATAATGTTAAAAGCAAGACATTTGTTTCCCCTGTGGGGCAGGGCAAGGGGGGTTTGAAACTTCTGGTATATTTACTGTAGATAGATGCTTATTTTCTTTTGACCCACTGACATGTGGAGCAGGAGAAAGATGTAAAGATGTCTAGTAAAGGGTAGCATTGTTAAAAGTAGGAGGGGATAAGTGAAATTTTTGTGGCAGGACGATATTTGCAAGACTGATCAGGCTGCTGGGAGGTGTTTAAATATGCCAGTTCCCTGTAACAGGAAGATCAGTCTCTGGTTTAGACAGCATATCCAATTTAGTAAATTATTATTATTCTGTCAAAATTAATGTGAACAATTTTCTCTTTGAGGCTGCTTTTTCCATAGGTGATGTTTTCCAGATGGGCTTTGTGTAAAACTCTTAATGTTTTATGTTTTCTTTCCTAGAAAAAGAGCCTTTTCTCTCATGTCTTCATTTCTCTCTCTCTTCCCCCATTCGTTGTAGGGAAGAGAGGGCCAAAGGCGAAGGAGAAGAAGAACAAGAAGAAGAAGAGGAAGCTGACAGAGCGAGCCCAGGAGCAGCACAGCGTCTTCCTTGCTACAGACAGGGCCAACCAGTAAAATAAGAGACACATCAGGTGGATTTTTTTTTTTTTTTTTTTTTGCAAAAGTGCACAAAGCTACTCTCCATTCCCCGACACTGGTGCACGGTGTTTGTGCTGCTCTGACCGGTATCCATTCCCAGTGACATTGTGAAAGGAGGAGCCACCTGGCCTCTGTTATTTATGCTTTGATTTGCAGCCAGAGACTGTGAAGGTGGGAGCTTGTGACCTGAATCGGAGGAAGTGGGAGTGAGTGTACAGCATGGGACTGGGCTCGGTATGCAACACCGCCAAACGTGAGGCTGCAGACCACCACTGGAGAACGGACTTGTGCATATTTATGGGAAGGAAGATGCTCAACAGGCCAAGTGCTATTTCACTTGTGCCCTCTATTTCTCACATTGTGCACTGTCAAGGATACATGTATGTGGATATCTGCTTAATGTTACCACATGTTCTCGGCATCTGTTCCCTTCAAACTGTTGTGGGATGGAACTGTTCTTAGCTGGGGATATGCTACAGGAATTCCTGCTCAGTCTCACAGTGGCTCTGATATGTACATATTCCGCTGGGGCTATGCATAAACCTCTTACTTACTGTATATTTATGCTCTCTTATGCGTAACAAGTCATACCTAATTAATAGATGTCACTTTGTTTTTTAGTGGTTGCTAACTGTTGTCCGGTAAATGGCTGTTCTAGTTTTGAGAATTGACAAATGTTTTGTTGCCCCTTGAACTTTACCTTTTCTTTTCTTTTTGGGCTTATTTCTCACTGTAAGGATAGGATAAGCTAGTTTGTACATAGGGTCAAATGACCGATGTCAAAGAATGTATCTCCTCACAAGATAAAGCAGCATCTGGCAGTCAGAAACCGGAAGTCCCTTTCAGTCTATGATGGAATGACATCATGAAATACACCTGAAACATGAGGAATGACCTGCAGCCATTCCTAGTACTTGTCATGCAACTTTACAAGCTAGCAAGAGAATTTCCAAACTTCAGTAAGTGTATATGCATCATTTAAAGCAGTCCTGACTTAGTGCCAGGGCGCCTTCCAGTATTCTTGGGTCACTGTAAGAGCTACCATCATAAGACTATGCTTTGGATCTGAGGAGAAAACAAGATGAATTCCTACAACTGCTGGTCAGATCTTAACAGGTCCCCTTGGAGCCAGAATGTATTTCATGGCTGAGATGGGGAGGAATGGTGTGGGAGCTCCTAGGGGACGGTTTCAGAGTTGTGGTTTCGAAAACATGCTTGTCTCCTTGCGGGGAACCAGTTCTTAAAGGATTTTGAATTGGCTACTTCTAAAAGCATCATTATCTTCCTGGATGATCCAAAAGAAATGGTTGCAGATTTTTGAGGAAAAAGCAAAGCAAGGTAAAAGCCTTTCTCTCACCTTGCATTGGCAAAACTACCTCTTTAGCATTTTTGGTTAACTTTCGAGTCAAAGCATCTTACCAATAAGTATAAATGTCATATACATCATTATGAAAATATTGTTATGAGATAAGCCATATATGAATGTTGTATTCGACTTTAGGGTTTGCATTTAATCCTGAAGTGTTCACCTCCTTTCGTATCTATGTACACTATATTCCTATTGCTAAGCAGGGAGGGGGCTCTTGTATAGTGCTTCATTGTTCATAAGTCAAAACTTGTTCTATTTCTGGGATATTCTTTTCATGCATTAAAAAACTTCCAAAGTATTTGTGGAAATTCGCTTTTCTTTTGAAATTTAGGAAAAAAAAAAAAACCAACACTTTAAAACTCTACCCTCAAATGATGGTCCTTAAAAAAGTAAAAACAAAATTTTCAAATCTATGCTAGTAACTATATCTAAGGCACTAAATAGGTTAGCTATAAATTACGTGGTAGTGGAATATTAAGAGTGGGGATTTTAGGAATTAACAAAAGAGAGACAGACTCATAGAGAAACTATCTCAAAGGTGGGGGTGGGGAGTAGGCTGGGGGATTGAGCAAAAGAAATTCATAGACACAGACCACAGGGAGGATAAATGGTGATGGATAGAGACTTGGGGTGGTGAACACAATACAGTGTACAGATGGTTTGTTATGGATTTGTGCATCTGAAAACTGCATAATTTTGTTAATCAGTGTCATTCTAATAAATTAGATAAAAAGGGAAAAAAATTCAAAAGAAGAAATTTTAGAGCCAGACCGAATTCCAGTATAGACTGAGAACAGCCTGAGGCAAATTATTTAATTTATCCAGGTCTGTTTACTCATCTGTAAAATGAAGGTAACAATATTACCTACCTTCAGGGCTGTGTTTTAAGGGCTGAATTTAGTAAAATATGCATAGGGTTGTGTTTTGAAGATTATATCAGGTAAAATGTGTAAAGTATGGTCAACACAGCATGATATATACTAAGAATTACACAAGTTTTGACCTGTTATTCTTTTTAACTACCTCTGTCCCGGGCAATTTAAATTATTCTAAAATATTCATTTCTAAAAACAAACAAACAAACAAACAAACAAAAAACATCAGCTCCCTTCAATTTACTGTTTGATGCCTGGACATTATTTGCTCAAACTTTTATTCTAATGGGAATTAATATATAGCTGTAACACACACACATGCTACAGTGTAATTTTAGCTTCTGGGCAGTTATAAAAAGAGCTGGTGGTTTCCCTCAAATAGATATACCATTCTATACTGTATAAAATATATATGTGACCAGTTTTCTTCCCAATATTTTCATGAAGCTTAGTGACTGTACAACTTTCACAATTCAGAGGTTTGAGTTGGGAGTGGGTGAAATGGGAGAAGGTGATTAAAAGATACAAACTTCCAGTTATAAAAGTCATAGGGATCTAAGGTACAGCATGGTGACTATAGTTAACACACAGTTAACTGCATATTTGAAAGTTGCCAAGATTAAACATTTTAAATATCCTCATCACAAGAAATAAAAATTGACAAATCAGCGCTTAAAAACCAATTTTTGCCAAAACCGGTTTGGCTCAGTGGATAGAGTGTCAGCCGGCAGACTGAGGGGTCCCAGGTTTGATTCTGGCCAAGGGCATGTACCTTGGCTACGGGCACATCCCTAGTAGGAGGTGTGCAGGAGGCAACTGATCAATATTTCTCTCTCATTGATGTTTCTAACTCCCTTCCTCTCTGTAAAAAATTATATATGTATATATATATATATATATATATATATATGCCAATTTTGTAAATGTTATTTTTCAAGATGTGTCAAAGATTTAGATGTTTTGAGTTAACTTTTATATATAGTATCAGAAAATCTAGTTTTATTATTTTGTAGTGGTTTTCCAATTTTCCCAATACCACTTATTGAAAATACACAGAAGAAAATATAGGTGCTAAACCTGGTCTCAGAGCATTTTTTTGTGAACTTAACCTCAAGGGCAAGGGAAGTAAAAGCAAAAATAAATGAATAGGACTACGTCCACTAAAAAGCTTCTGCACAGCGAAATAAACTATTAACAAAAGGAAAAGATATCCAATTGAATGGAAGATTTACAAGCAATACCTTTATAAGGGACTAATATCAAAACTATACAGACTCATACAACTCAACACCAATAACCCTGCACCACAAAAAATCCAATTAAAAAAATGGGCAGAGAACCTGAACAGACAATTTGCCCGAGAAAATATGGCCCATAAATATATGAAAAGATGCTCAACTTTACTAGGTATAAGGGAAATGTAAATCCAAACCACAATGAGACACCACCTCACCTATGTTAGAATTCCTTTTAGCGATAAAACAGTGTTGGAGAGGGTGTGGAGAAAAGAGAACCCTGGCACACTGCTGGTGGGAAAGTGAAACTGGTGCAGCCTCTGTGAAAAACTAAGTTCCTCAAAAAGTTAAGTATCAACCTACTGTATGACATAGCAATCCCTCTTCAGTGTATCTCCCCCCCCCAAAAAAAAATTTTGAAAACACCTATTTATAAAGGTATATATACCCCTATGCTCACTGCAACATTATTCACAATAGCCAAGACATGGAAACACAAAGGTGAAAGATTGGATTTGATCTAAATGCGTAGAAAGTCAGTGGAGGATTTAAACAGCTTAATGATGTGATAAGATTCTTCTGCCATATTCACTTGGGCTGCAGTGTGGAAGGTAGACATTCAGAACAAAGGCAGAGAGACCAATTTTTGCAGTAATCAGATGAGAATTAGTGTGACTTGGGCTGGTGGGTAGCAGTAGAGGAAGAGAAGTGTTTGGATTCAGGACATAGTTTGGCAGAAGAACCCGCAGACTTGCTGATGAATTGCATGGAGTGGGTAGTGGTGAAGGGAAACAAGGAAACCATTATGTCTCCTGGGTTTCTTGCCCTAAGCAACAGATATAGGGAAGATGGGGAAAACTGGGAAATAAAAATAAGCCATTTTCACATGCTAAGTTTAACGTGCCTGTTAGATATTTATGTGGAAATACCAAGTAGGCAACTGGATATAAACCTGGAGTTTAGGGGAAAGTTCAGGGCTAGAAATAAACTATTTGTGGGATATCAATATATAGAAGACACTTAGTACTAAGGAACTTTTTGGGGTGACCAGAGAGAGAATGTACAAGGGGGAGAAAAAGAGCCTTAGATGTATCAAGCCTTAGATATTGACCAGAGAAGGCGGCACCAAGAAAGAGATTATGACAAAGTGTCCAGGGAGGAAAACCAGGAGCAGGTAAGTCACTAAGAGTGACCAAGGGACTCAAGACTTACACAGTTCTCTTGCCCCTTATTTTAGAATAAAAATATCAGGATAAGTGAAGGGCAATTAGGAAAAATTTGTAATAATTATGGAGTTTGGACTTCTCAAATATTTTTCCTCATTGTACACTCCAAAACTTAAAAGCTCATTGAAAATGGTTTTGATGTAAAAAGAACATAAAATAAGTCAATGCTTAAAAACTTTCAAAACTAGTCTTCACATAAATGTGATAATGATACTTAATTTCAGGTTACCATATCACCTACCAATTTCATCTACATTTATAATGAAATAAT